CGTGAAATTATTGCATATTAAAATAAATACACGTATGCCTCATTAAACAACACAAATGTATGGAGATGTTGATTATTGGATTAATATCATACTTCTCCACACATGCCCCAATCATCTGACCTTTCATGGGGATCAGTTAAAATTAAAGGCTTGTATCAATCATTTTATTTTTTATTTATTTGCTTTAAAATATTATAAGACTGATACTGAAATGAAAATTAATAATATAAAAAACAACAAAAAATAATTCAAATATAAAGAAAGATTATGAAGTAAGGTTATAACACTATTTTCAGAAAACAATAGGATTTTTCATTAAATTCAAATAGCATAATAATACAATATCTATAAATGTTTTACTTTAAAATAATACAGCGATATTATCATTATGTCAAGAAAAAAGTCATCATTATTTAATATAAGTATTTGACTTTGTATGTACATGAACTATACATAATTATACAAGGAATTAAATGTTAAACTTCAATGTACTTTTTCAATCAATGTACATGTACTATATACAACTATAGAGGGATTAAATATTTAAATTACTATATACTTTTCAATGTGTAAGACATAACAGTCAGTGGGGCTTTATCATCATGAGTGTCTCCTTTATCTCCCCACTATTCGTTACGGTAAAAGCCCATGGACTGATCCACTTTGCCGGGGACCAGGGACCGTTAAGGTTGGCAAGGTTACATTCATTATACCACCAGCCTCCTCCTCCTCCCTCACTAACAGCACAGTTACACCAACCACACAAGTCGTGGTCTCTGTCCAGGGTGGAGAACGACGTCCCGGACAGGTCAGCACCAGAATACCCTGTATCCAGCATACTGTCACCTACAGTAATCAAAGATAACATATTACACGCACACCTATTAAATCATTATCATCTACATAAAACTTAAAACTGAAGAAAAACTTTTGTATTATTCAACATAAAAGAAGTAAATAATTGTATCAAAAAGTATTGCTATTTTATTTTCTGTTGTCTGTCATTCGATGTTTTATTTTGACTGCATACGAAGATGTAATTTCAATAAAAAATATTTCATACGTATTTAATCATAAAACAGGTAAGATTATACTTGATATAAAGAATGGATATTAAAACAATAATCAACAACATTAACTGATAAAGTGATAAAATATTGAATGCTATTCTGATTATTTTTTAGGGTTTGCACCTTTTTAAGTTTACTGTTCGGAGAAAAAATATATTTTCTATATTGTAAAAGTGTTACTCATAATGAATTATTTACAATTATTTTATCAGCTTCTTTTCTGTTGTTGAAAAATTATATATTTTTTTTATAAAGACATACAAGAAGTATTATAGAATACGTAATATGCCAGGTACAATGTCTTTAAAAATTAATTCTATGTTATTTTTGTGGATTTTTCAAATGGATTGCACTGTTAATTTTACTCTAATATATATTAAAAGATGAATAAGCATATCTTTTGGACACATGACGTATATTCGGGGAGGGAGGGGGGTTACGTTGTACTGTCAAAATAGCACACATCATTATACTGATTTGTTTTCGGCACTAGCAAATACACCTTCCTCCCTCTTCCTACTCTGTCCTCAAAAGTTTCTATTTTTTATCTGTCCCCAGAAACTACTCCTCTCTCTCTCTCTCTCTCTCTCTCTCTCTCTCTCTCTCTCTCTCTCTCTCTCTCTCTCTCTCTCTCTCTCTCTCTCTCTCTCTCTCTCTCTCTCTCTCTCTCTCTCTCTCTCTCTCTCTCTCTCTCTCTCTCTCTCTCTCTCTCTCTCTCTCTCTGTCCCTCTCTCTGCTCATTAATCGTCAATTACACATTCCTTTTACTTTTACCTACCCAGGGTCCCGGTAGCTGGTCCTCCAAGTAACAGTCTATAGTTAAGTGATTCATCACCAACAGAGAACTGGTTGTATAATTGATACAGCTTTGTCCCATTGGTCAGTGTAATGGAGACGTAGAGGGAGGAGTTCCTTCCCCTCGTAAGCTGATGAATTACGTCATTCCCTATAATATTTTATAGTCGTGTTATATGTAAAGCATTTATAAAACAAAATGTTTTTTTCTTCTGGGATGTTGTCATATAATTCAACATACCATTGTAAATTCAATCAGAAATACCAAATTACAATCAACCTACTTATTTTGAAATCAAATTAAGGAAATCGTTTTGAATAACATGAATTATTTTGTTCTGCAAATAACGGGAAAACCCGTCGTCAACTCTGTGTATAAATAATTGACTAACAAATAGTATGAAAAACGTCCGACAGCATTTGACTTCAAGATAAATTATTATATGCTGACAAATGTATATAATTTACCAATCCAGTAGGAGTCGTTAGGATTCCCGAACCCTGTCTTATACTCAGACCACGTCCTGTTGAATCTCACCGCTCCACTGACCCGCTTCTGAATTGCCTAGAGATTTATAAATTAGAGGGTTTTATCCATGAAAGTTAAGGTGTTTTTGAATTAGAGGGCGCTTATAAATGAAAGTAGTGAAGTTGTTGATTGATACGTTGTATTGTTTACAATGTTTCAAATGGATTATTCAAAAAAAGTAATCTTTTTAGATGTGCTTTTTTTTTCAAGTTTTAATATGCGCAATTTTTCAAGTTATGAGCTTTAAAAAAACTTGCATGCAAAAATCTACTTAATATATACTAATCAAAATAAATATTTCAAGTAAAAAACATTATTTATGATATTATAAAAAGTTATTCTACTTAGCAGTTAAACATATTAACTGTTAGAATGTTAGCATCTTTAAGCCAGTTAGGTAAGAAAAAAAACCAATAGGCATTTAGCGCAATTTCTCGTGGTTTTCAGCAAAAAGATTACATATCCGTTTTAAAATGAATTATAATTGAAATACGATGGTACTTGCAATTGATGGTTGAGAGAGAGAGAGAGAGAGAGAGAGAGAGAGAGAGAGAAAGAGAGAGAGAGAAAGAGAGAGAGAGAGAGATCTTACTGTCCACCCTCCGCCTTCTATCACCATGTCACAGAAGACACTGATCTTGCTTTCGATACCAGACGAATTTATTTTATACACACCAGACGGATTAATGTCATAAACACCGCATTTTCTATAACCATTAATATAGAGGTCATTGCAGTCTTTCTTTATGTTTAACCCTGAAAGTAAAAGAATTAATTACTGGATATAATAATAATCGCAATATTAAAAATACTCACAGAGAGAGAGAGAGAGAGAGAGAGAGAGAGAGAGAGAGTTACCGTCTTCAATGATTTTCAATATACTGCTCTTTAAATCTTCTTCGGAATTGGAGATGTTTTTCTTCAGGGTTGTAAGCATCCCGTTAAAATTTTCCTTTATCCTCGCGTTCTCCATTTTTAAGGAATCAATTTTTCTCGCGTTCTCCTTTGTCAATGAATCAATTTTTCTTGCGTTCTCCTTTGTTAATGAGTCAATTTTTCTTGCGTTCTCTTGCCTTGATGAATTAATTTCTCTCGCGTTCTCTTGCCTTAAGGAATCAATTTTTCTTGCGTTCTCCAGTGTTAAGGAGTCAATTTTTCTCGCGTTCTCTTGCCTTAAGGAATTAATTTCTTTCGCGTTCTCCTGTTTTAGAAAATTAAACTGATCTTTCAAAATTAGCATTGTTTGCTCATTAGGGAAGCAATCATTGTTTTCTTTAAGATATATTTGCTGAGAACTAGCGACACAAACGAGCAAGCCAAACACGAAGGAAGCCGACCACACTCCTGCCATGGTTTTACTAGAGCGCTGTCTCGAATAAGTGTCTCTATAAAAATCTGTAGTTTATATACCCTAAAACGGGAAGTTTAGAATTTCACTAAAATTATATCTCTTCCGCAACACTTAGTGTTAATGTTAAGCAGCGATTTTTATTTGACAATCAAGAAAAAAATCAGGATGTTTACGTCAAATTCAGAGGAAAGCTGGCATAACATACCATTATATATGTAACATTATTTTGTATAAATGTACCAACTTTCAAAACTTAAAAAAAAATCTTAGACATTTTTACATGACAGATATTAAGAAAAATAGTTAATACTTAAGATGACTTTGTATTTATTTAAATTCACTTTTTAATATGTCGAAAAGTACAGTTATAACACCTTTTCATATTTTTTAAACCTATATTATAAGATTAGATTTGATATTGAAGTGGATCATCCCTCTGATAAGAGAGATAATTCTTCTTATAAGAAAGACAACTTTCCTTAGACATTATGTCATGAAATTCAGTGAATTGTCATGTCAGAGTTTACAAGTTTCATTCATGCTAACCATTTTATAGTCAACTCAATCAAACTTTTATTAAGGTACAAATGTTGATATATAGTTTCTATTGCTTGTATGTACATTAATGATTTATGATAATTTACTTTAAACATTTATACTCAGTTCCTTTAAACAGTGTAAATTGAGAAAGCTCTACCTCTTAAAGTATAATTCTTTAAATTGAACAGAAATTTCAGATGCAGTATTGTTTATAAACATTTAATTAATATTTTGTTTCATTAAAAACATATTTTCAAGGGCGATAATGTAGGTATAACTCTTGTTTATGGATGCGTGTTATTTTTGAGGCACAGAAAACAATTTGTAATTGTGGTTAAAAAAGCAGCGCTTCAGTATGTTTTCTAATGGGAATTAGATAGGTATGAGAGTAAATATTATTTTATATATACACCTCATATTTCTAATTTAATAGTGAGATAAAAAATAATTAATCTTTCTGTTTACCATATCAAATTTTCTTCACATCATGATTTGACATAGCATTCATTTCTAAAAAAGTAAGCAAAGCTTCATACTTTAAACTATTTTCCATTAGAATTCAATGCTATAATCTTGCTGAAATCAATGTCTGGATTTTTAAAAAATATAGCTCGCCTATAAGTAGGACATAGAGTTTTCGACCAGAAATTCACTCCCACAATTCCGACTTATAGGCGAGTATATACGGTACATGCATCCCACTTATTTCCAAACATGATTTTTTTTACTATTGTGGGGGGTGGGTGCACAGCCACAAATTTTCAGTTTTCAACTACCAAAAAATTCTTGACCACCAAAAACAAAGCAAATAGCCTCAAGTCATCAGATGTTTTTATTTAGGGGGCACAAGCATATGTAGTTCTGATTTCTTTAGTATTTTATATATCGGCAAAATCATAAAATTATGGGGGGGGGGGGCACAATATAAAGAAATGTACCCTCATTAGTATTTCATATAAATAATAATTTTTAACCCTCATCAATGTTCTTATTTTAAAAATGTCGATCTAATAACTCCGCGATGATAAGACCATATAATATTCTATATTCGTAACTATTGTTTTGTTTAATGAGGAAAAATAAGAATTTATATATATATTCCGGAATGTAACCTAAAATTTCTTTTTATTTCGTTTAAATACATATATCATTTTTTCTTGCATTATCATTTAAGCAAATGACCCATTTGATATGAATATATTCAACAATTTCTTGATAGTAAAACAAAATAAAAGGGGGGGGGGGGGTAATCAAAGTTGAACCTACTTTTTGATTGGTTAATTTGGATCTTGAATTTCGAAACTCAAATTTCGAATATCGTATTTCGAATCTCGAATCTCGTATTTCGAATCTCGAATGAGCCTTCTGGGCTTTCGTAGATGAGAGATAACTTTCTTAAGACTTTTTTTTAATATAAAATTTAGTGAATTGTCTTGTCAGATTACACAGAGTCCATTAATGAAGAGCATTCTATGGGTTACTGAATCAAATCTTTCCTATCGTAAACTGAGATACTGATTTTTAGTTTATATTTCCAATATTTTCATTTATAATTCATAATAATTTACAATAATAATTTATACTCATTTCCATTAAACTGTGCAACTTAAAATCTTTCTATCTCCTAACATATACGTCTATTAATTGTTACAAAATCTTCAGATGTACAATCGTATTTAAATATATTGAGTAATTTGTTTTACAAAAAAATATTGGCAAGAGCGATAATGGAAAGATAACTCTTCTGTGGATGGATGCGCATTATTTTACAAGCACAAAACCGATTTGATATTCTGATTTAAAAAGTTTAAAAACAACTTCCTGATGTTTTCTCGTGAGAATTGAATGAGTATGATAGTAAATATTTTTTTCCTATATACCTCATATTTTTAATTTCTTAGTGAGATTGAAAAAAATGATCTTTCTATTTACTATATAAAATTTTCTTCACAATATGATGCGAGGTAATATTTATTTCTGGCAAAAAAAATTAATACATTAAACTTTTTCCCATTTTAAACAAATGTTGCTGGTCAAAATCAATGTTTGGAATTCAAAAAATATATTGGTGAATTTGGAGCAGAAAGATATTTCGTCTTAAGAGTTAGTTTTATATGCATTCGGCAGAGCACTGTTTATTTTTACTGTGAAGTATTAAAATATCAAAGTCTTCACTTAAAAACAAAAAGGTAACTATATAATTTACATACAATTTGGATAAATAGAAGAAAATATAGGATAAAGTGGGGTTTTGGCATTTTGGAAAGGTTTACATATTTAAGCTGATTTAAAAGAATTAATTTCTCGGATTTATATTTGTTTTTTCAGTTACTGTACTTAGTTTTTTTTTCTCCATTACTAATTATTGTTAATAAATACTAGTAGCAATGAGTAAATATTAATATTGCTTTAAGGAATAGGGAAGAAGTTTAAGTGGTAAAAACAACTACGTGACTGATTAAAAACATCTTATGTGATTGGCCTATACAAAACAAAGTTTAAAGATGCAGAGGAATATAGAGATAAACTGAAATAAAGATGTATTAAAACGGGAAAGAAATATACAAAAATAGAAAAATAATCAGCAATATCTTCTCTTTCTCTAAGTCAATCCCTTTCGTAAAATGAAATTCTGTCGATTGTGAACTGAAATAAGAGCAAATATATAACTGTCATCGGCATTGACTTATTTAACGTTTTATAGTTGATTTTTACTTCAATTAGTATAATTTTTATTGAATTTATAGAAATATTAACCTTCAAGCTTTTCTTCTAAATTTGAATGGGAGGAAATACCCTGTATTTATTAAACAAGTCATTTTCATTTAACAAAATATATTTAAAAGCTCTTCGTCACGTCTCCATCCGAATACCCTTACTTCATTGATGTAGAATGATTGAGTTTAGAAATATAAATCACAATTGCATTAAAGACAGAAAGTTTAAAAAAATGTAAATATAAGCAATGAATATTTGTATTAGGAAAGAGATCGTCTCATGGATTGAAGTATTCATATTTTAATAACAAACAGTAAAAAAGATTAAATACAAGTTTAAAAAATAAAAAATCCCCAGTGCAACATTTGTAGAATTG